CAGAGAAAGAAATCATGATTGGGGACAGCCTTAATAACGAATATATAACATAGTATTATCAGGCTTCTTTGCCTATTATAAAATATCCAAAGATACATATAATACATGTATAATGAGTTTTGTGTCAACTTGTATAATTTTATGATCATTAGTATGTGTGATAAAAAAGAATCAAAAATATCTGTGTATTTAAAAATAACTAATTGTAAAATTAAGTTTTAACTTGTACTAGAATACCGCAACATATACATAATATCCAGATATATATATATTACATATACATATTGTTTTTGTGTCAAATTGAATACCGTTATGCTTTGATAATTCACTGTTAAAATGTGAAAATTATAACTTACCTCTTACACCTACCTAATTTTGAAGCCAAAGGTGAGCATTGTTTCCAGACACACACTTGTTAGACAGTCAATCAGGAAAAAAATTCCACTCTACAAACCTAAACAAGAATATTATCTTACAAACGAATATATAAACCCCAGATTCAAACGTAAAAGGAATAATGTAAAAAACTATAGTAGATTTTAATTATGACTCCAGGGTGAAAACTCAAAATTTATCATTTATAATTATATAAACGTGTTCAGGACAACACTGACATAACTTGAAATTCCTGTCAGTTCTTGCAGCAAAATAAAGAAGTAACCAGTTGTGCATTATACTTGACAGTACTCATTATTTATAGTATCGGCAGTAATATAAATCTCTTACAAACGATAACATTAACGCGCAGATTAACCTCTTGTATGCACTTACACAAAGCATGTCTGTGTTCTCCTTCCCCTTAAAAATAAAGAAAGTTATTTTCAGTTTTTTATTTATATATGCATGTATTACCGATAAATGTATTCGTAGAAATTCTGTTTACATATTTCCTAGAAAAGGAAATAAAGAAAACTATTTGCATTAAAGATGATTCATGAAACGTTCATAATACTTTACGAACATGAGGTCAATATGTGCATTCATGTAATTGTTCGTGTTAGAAATAAAAATAATCACAAATACGATTTATTAATATGAGTTGATTTTATAGAAATGTCAATTCTTAGAAAAAGGTACCAAATGGAACTTTGATCGTCTTAAAGGAAAACGAACAAGGAAATAAATGGTGTTGTAGTTGTTATAAAAACTTGACTGTAACTTGTCATGTAAAACATAAATGTTCGCGTCTATCAGGTCCGGTTGTAAACAATTATCAATGATTACGTCGGGTTCCCTGGCTTATAAATACGCCAAGTCTTGTATGCATTGTCAGTGTTATCCACACAAAGCTCCACAATAGTCGAAGATGAACAACAAACTTGTACTGACGATTCTGCTGGTGACTGTAGGTCTGATGTGCCTAGGCATCGCCCCGGTAACCGGTGAGTAGTGGCAATGTTTGTAACTACTCCAGTACAAACTAAGCGTGGCATTATCTTAACCGCACCTAATTAATATTGTTCTCATTATATATCTTATGGTGTATACGGTGTATTTGTTAGTGTTATGTCTGATAGGAATGAACTAATATTATGTAATGGTACACTGTATCATATGGTTTTCAGAGAAGACGAGAAATCATCACTCAGATTGAGGAAGAATGTATTCCTGAAGAAGTTAATTGATAAAAAGGGTATTCTTTTCTATATTATAGTAAGAAAGTTTCTTTAACTTAAGCATGTTTTTTAAAAGCATTTTTTTTCACAACAATATGAACGATTGATTCAGAAAATCTTGCTTTTTAATTTTTCTTATTATTCAATGGGTCAAAGAAAACGTGTTTCTTCTGGTTCAGTGTGTTTCTGTTTTGCCTTGTTTTATGTGAGCTTTTTTTCTTCTTGCGAAGGATAGAAAAAAAATCAAAAAGAACTTCAGTTAAACGTTAACGTAATAAAATCCCAATATTGTAAACTTTTCCATATCCAAACAACTTGTGAAACCTTCAGAGATAAATTTAATATTAGAAGTGAAACTTTAACATTGCAGAGGGTGAAACAAAACACACACACACATTTTTGGGACACTCAAATGGCTGCCAAATTGGCCGATTTATATATACTTGTAAACAAAAATCTTCAAGCAAGATGCATCTATTATATTGACAATCTGTTTAGATGGGTCTTTGCTTTTAAAGTTGATCATAATAGCTTAATTTTATAACAGTTAAACCTCAGAAGAGCACATTCGTAACATGACACCCCTTGCATTTTAGGATTTAAGAACATTATCACTATTGATTCGTAAGAGAGGTGATTAATTTCGGGACCCCCGAAAGAGTTGGAGATTTGTTTTTGCGCTCTTCACATGCGGACGGGAAAATGAACACTATAACAACATTCGGGATCTTTATTGTTTCCCATCCCGCACAATTTTGTTCGCTTTCTTATTCATTACTTGGCTATATATCGCTTTTTGTAAAAACAAGTTGTCCTAAGCAAAGAAGAACATGGGGTTTTGTCCCTGTGAGTAAGGACTGGTGTCAGCCCATTGTCAGTATAATATGACCGGTTAGAAGGTCAAAGTTAATTACGGTTAATTGGCATTTTGAAGTGGCCTTTAAATGGCCCCAATATCTGTTAACATCGTCATCATATTAACTTTGGATGCTGCGTAGAGCAATGAAAACAAAACAATAAAGAGAAAAATAAACAAGCAGCTTAACATCTACTGTTATGTTAAATTTGTTCTGATAAGGTTCTCTCTGAAAAAACTACAACTACTGCTATGCGTATATTTGCACAGCGTTGCATCTAAGCTTTTTACTGAGGCCGCTGATTGTTCAAATCTTAGATAATACGATATCACTGAAATTTAGTACGTATGTTATTATGGCACTGAAAACATAACCGTGGAAAAGATGGCTGGAAATACGCGATTCTGATTAGTTTAAAATTTAGGTATTGCTCTATTCTAAACTACTTTGTCACGTTGATTTATTTACACTGCAATATTAAGTGTGAGTTTAGTTTGAAGATTAGACGAGATGATCGCATTATACTCGCTTCAGATGGGTTGAAATTTATTTACAGTCCGACTCTGATCAATTTTGGCACTTAAGTGTATTATGGTACTGCGAACTATATCATGACTTCTTTTCTTAATTCTGAATTGTCCAAATATAGATATTATCCGTTTTTGCTGAAATATGTGCATTGTGACCACTCTATGATGCATAATTTAGGACCATGGGGGCATTCTGGTGTAATTCTGTAATTGTCCGAATTATACTGAAAACTTGCTACAACTGTTTCTCTATTGGGTAAATGTTCCAAATGTCATAGTTTGAATTATTAATGCAGATGGCATACTGCCTCCAACTCACTTGTAAACATTATAAATATGAAGGCACGTCCTTAAATGACCATAGCTGAACTTTGAACTTTTACCAAAGCAGTTGTATTTTTTCCTTGTAGGTCAAGGGAGAGGATGCAGTTGTCGTCGAAGTTGTTATCCGGGTGAACGAAACACTTATCGGAGGTGCAGTATACCTGGATCATATGGCTGGGGCTCCCGGGGCACCGAGTGTTGTCGAGGTGGCTTTTTTTACGGCCGTTAGGAAAACCTAGATTGCGATTCGTACTGAAAGGTATTTTGTGTTCTAAATATATTCTATTGATGACACCAGATATGCGCAAAAATGAATATCAAGGCGCTGACATTGAAAGGGGTATTATATCACTCGTGATATTCATAGAATTGCTTTGTACATTACTTATTTGGATTATAAACATTGGCTATAAAACGCATTATTTATTTGACATGAAGACATCGTTGTGCATTGACATTTACAAATGTGCAAAAGAAATTAACATTTCCATGGAAATATATGAGTTCCATATGTATTCAGGCAAGGTTATAAAAAACGATCATAATGAATTTCGTATTAGATATGACGATGGGTAACTGATGTGGATAAGGCCAACAACAACAAATGCACCCAGAACGGGTGAAACTAACGTCACCTTCTGTCTTTTCTTTTGTCTTCTACAGGATCAGATTAAAACAAGCAACGTCAGCGTAAATCTCGAGATGTGTGTTACCAGCAGTCATAACATTTTGTCTTTTCATTAAATGATTTAAAGGACAACAATTGCTTTTGTTCTCATTAAAACAAATTGTGTGTTTTGAAGGGAATGCATTATAAACGAGGAAATCAGTTTGATTCAAATCTTATAAAACACTCCTTTATGTAAAAAAAAAGTGGCTTATTGACAAACAAGGTACGTGATATTATGTTTGACAAGTGCATAATATAGCTTATTTACTTGATGATGTATATATTTTATATATATATATACGTTATATCAAACGCTTTGGTATATGTGTCCGATGGATTGCCACCTTGCTGTGGTCGTCATACGAAAACCCATAATTATAAAGGTTCCCCCAATAGTCGGCACAAGTGCTAGTTAGATACTACCCCACTTCTTGCTTTGCGGAAGTAACACTGATTGTATTTTTTCAGATTGACATGGTTGGTATCATCGATATAACAGATGCCAATTACCTTTCCAATACACCTGGTCTGATTCTCCTTGTGCGTATTCAATGGTATTCATTATCGTGACCGTAAATGACCTTAGCAGTTAGACATTCAACAAGATATAACAAAACCAAATATTTGTTCATAAATTGTGCTAGTTAAATCTGTTTTGAGATCGAATTACTTTTTTGATAATTTAGCACTGCATTCGTTTCTGTTCTTCTCTAGTATGTGTCCTCAGTAGGAACACTTTCCTGCTTATTGAACGTGTACACCGTAGTTGATTCGATTCGCTATTCCTGATTCTGTTTTAAAATCCCCAGTTAGATGTGCCCTGTTGACAATTAATCTATAACTAAGCTTTTATACCAATCGAAAGCGAGACGTAATCCTTTGATACTTTTTTATGTTTATATGCGTGAAAATCACCTTAATACAAAAACATATATCCAGTGTTCATGAAGCTATAATGACATCACAAAGTTATTCAGTATTTATTTATCCATAACAACCTTACAAAGACATTTAATATTTACATAGCTTTAACCACATCCCAAAGTTATCCAGTATTTATGTATCCATAACAACCTTACAAAAAAATTTAGTATTTATATACATATAACCCCATCCAAAAATTATCCAGTTTTTATGTATCCATAACAACCTTACAAAGAAATTTAGTATTTATATACCTATAACCACAGCACAAAATTATCCAGTATTTATGTATCCATAACAACCTTACAAAGAAATTTAGTATTTATGTAACCATAGTGGCCTTACAAAATTATCCTGTATTTATATAACCATAACAATCTTATAAAGAAATTCAGTATTAAATTACGTGACGTGACGGCATAATAAAACACAATCAACTGATTGAGGCGTCATTAAGGTGCAGATCACTTAGTGCAGCCATGTGAGATAAATATAATCTCTAACACGAGGATTCGCCATGCGAACCGTAGGAACTTAAGAACCTTTCCCCGAGGGTTGATATTTCAAATATCATCTCAAGATATCATCTCGAGTCAGGTAACAATATACAATTGTTTCATGGCTATTTGGGGAACAGTCAAAACTATCATCCCGAGGTAGGGGGAAGCCCTGGGGAACTGTTTGCCCAATCGTGTATCATCAACAGAATGTATTGTTACCTGACTCGCTATATAAATTTCGACTGTTTCCCAGACAATTCACCAAACGAACTATAGCTAATGTGTGCTACCGTAAAACTGTTGACTGGTCACGTGAAACTGTTGACTTGTCACGTGAAACTGTTGACTGGTCACGTGCAACTGTTGACAGGTCGCGTGCAACTGTTGACTGGTCACATGTTAGGTAATCGAACGCACCTATGTTTACAAGCACCCCGATGATCAAGCGTTTTTGGTCCTGGATTGTTGACGGTCGTCTGTCGGTAGCCCTAAACATCACATTTGACATAGAACTTTTTGGTTTTTCATTGTTAAGTCATAAAACAGTTGTTTCTTGCCTTATCAGTCAACAGTCAAAACCATTTTCCCTCGGAGTTGGGACCCACCAAATGAACTGTTTCCCTCGGCCTGCTGTCATGTATTATAATGGTTCAGTTATACATGCAGTTTGTTATACGTAGTTCGAGTAATACTATCTGATTCACATACATGCTTAACACAATGTATCACCAAGCCTACGTATTCAAGTGACAGAGATTAAAGAGAACAGATTACGCCATCATCGTGTTAGTTGTAGTTATGTAACATGGTGTCAGAATCGGTCTGAATCTACGCAAATATGAGACATCGGTTTTAAAAAACATAGGACAAAGGTTCTAGAACTATTTGTGCATTCAAAATGGAAGCGCTTGTGGGCTCAACACCGATGATGGACTGGCACAGCCAGGATATGGAATTTTCATGGAAAAGTTTCAGGCAACACGTGGATTGTATGTTCTCGGGACCGCTGTTGGCGAAAACAGAACCCGAAAAATGTGCCTACCTAATGATCTGGTCAGGAGAAAAGGGCAGAAACATGTTCACAACGTGGAACCTCACAGAGGATCAAAAGAAAGAACTTAAGTATTATTACGAACGTTTTGAACAATATGTGAAACCACGGTCAAATGTGATTTATAACAGATATAAATTCCACAGTAAAACACAGGGTGAAAATGAAACATTTGAACAGTTCACGACGCAATTACAAATTGCAGTGAGAGATTGTAACGATGATCATTCGGATGAAATGGTACGGGATCGGATTGTTATCGGTGTGAGAAATTCGAAAATCAGAGAAAAACTCATAAACATTGGAAACGATCTGACACTTGTAAAAACTCTCGACATAGCAAGAACACACGAACTGTCGCATGCCCAGGCAAAGTCAATGGCCGGGGAAGATGCGAAAATAAATGCACTCGCCAAAGCCAAACAGCATCTGTTTAAAGACAGTGGTGCCGGTAAAACTTACCGTAATAAACCGAACAAATTCAAACGCCCAGTGAAAGTAAAGGAAAATACTTGTTCAAGGTGTGGATATTCATACACCGGAAGTGGTTTACCTGAAAACTGTCCAGCTTTTGGAAAAACTTGTATGAAATGCCACGGAAAAAAATCACTTTGCCAAATTATGCAAAACGAAGAAAAGTGTACATGCGATAGATGGTGAAAATATCTCTTCAGATGACGAGTTCTATGTTGGATACTTAGAGACGGAGATAAACTCTGTTGAAACTGAGTGGTGTGAAAACGTTACAGTGGAAGGTAAATCGCTGTTATTCCAGTTAGACACGGGAGCTATGTACAACGTAATCAGTCTAAAGACGTTAAAAAAGATTCATTCAGTTCACAAGCTGAAATCAGGATCAGGGATACCTCTCCGTTCGTATTCGGGACACTTCATTAAACCGAAATGTACAGCAGCCCTTAAGTGCAAATACAAGGAAAATGTCAAGAACTTAAGATTTCATGTGGTTGATCGCGACGTCAAACCAATTATTGGAGCCAAGTCGTGCAAGGAATTGGAGCTAGTTCAGCGTGTAAACACGGTGGATAAAGCTGAAAAAAGGGACAAGGGTCTTCCTGCCGATCTAGAACAATTTTCTGATGTGTTTGAAGGTTTGGGGTGCCTACCAGGAATACACAAAATACAAGTGGATCAGACTGTTAAACCTGTCGTTCATGCTCCAAGAAAAATTCCTTTATCGATAAAAGACCAGGTAAAAGCCGAGCTCGATCGCATGGAGAAAGAAGGTGTTATTGTCCAGCAGTCTGACTCGACGCCGTGGGTGAACTCAATGGTGACTGTCGTAAAACCCAATGGGAAGATACGCGTATGTGTAGACCCACGGGACCTAAACAAAGCAATCCTTCGTGAACATTACCCCATGAAAACTGTCGAAGATGTAATTCTGGAAATTACAGATGCCAAGATATTTTCAAAACTTGACGCCACATCCGGGTTTTGGCAAATCCGCCTGGATGAAGAAAGTTCAAGGTTGTGTACATTTGATAGTCCATTTGGGAGATACCGATTTACCCGCCTCCCATTTGGAATAAAGTCTGCACCGGAAGTATATCAGAGAGCCATATCGGAAATGGTACAAGATATCAAGGGAAGTGATTCGATAGTGGACGATATACTGATCTGGGGAGCCAACATGGCCGAGCATGATGAATGGCTTGGACGTGTTCTCGAACGTGTGCGCGAGTACAATCTGACACTGAGCAAGGAAAAGTGTCAATTCCGAAAGGACAGCGTAACTTACGTTGGACATGAACTCTCCAATAAAGGTGTCAAACCAGACCCAGAAAAGGTACGAGCAGTACAGAAAATGGACCCACCGAAAAGTAAAGAGGAACTAATGACATTCCTAGGGTTTCTGCAGTACTTGGGAAAGTTTCTTCCTAGTTTGTCGGATAAATCTGCGCCATTACGTCAACTGCTACAAAAGGACATAGCATGGCACTGGGAAGAGGAACACACATCATGTTTTGAAACACTGAAGGATCTTGTTACCAAAACACCTGTTCTCCGTTACTATGACAAAACTAAGGAACTTGTACTTTCAGTAGATGCTAGCTCAAAGGGACTTGGTGCAGCGTTAGTCCAGGAAGGACAGCCTATTGCGTTTGCCTCGAAGGCATTGATGACTTGTCAACAAAATTATGTCCAGATAGAGAAGGAAGCATTGGCAATTGCGTTCGGTAGCACGAAATTCCATCAGTATGTTTTCGGCAGGCATGTGATCGTGGAGAGTGATCACAAACCATTGCAGACAATATTTAAAAAACCGCTCTACCAGGCTCCACCTCGCCTACAAAGGATACTGCTGACATTGCAGAAATATGACTTGGAGTCACTTACAAACCCGGAAAATTAATGTTCTTGGTGGACACATTAAGTCGTGCCTTTCTCAAAGAGTCGGACGAGAACTTGGTTCCGGATATTGCGATCAATGAGGTACACTTGTTGTCGTACTTACCCGTGTCGCCTACAAAGTTCCAAGAATTTCGCAAAGCTACAGCTGATGATATGGAATTACAGCAACTACAGAAAATGGTTCTGGAAGGTTGACCGGAAAGGAGGGAACAAATATCATTGAGTATTAGACAATACTGGGATATCCGCGACGAGATATCATGTGTAGATGGCTTGATATTTAAAGGCCACAAACTTGTTGTTCCTAAAACCCTACGACCGGAAATGTTGAAAAACATGCACAGTTCGCATCTTGGAATCGTCAAATGCAAGTCACGAGCAAGGGAAACGTTATTCTGGCCAGGCATGTCTTCTGAAGTGGAAGATATAGTCTCGAAATGTTCCATCTGTGCACAGCACTCGAACCGGAATCCCAAAGAACCGCTGGTTGAAACAGAAATTCCTACTAGGCCATGGTCAATTGTGTCAGCAGACCTTTTTGAGTATAAGGGACAAAACTACCTCTTATCCGTTGACCATTACTCGAAATGGCCAGAACTGGCGAAACTCGACAACATGAGCAGTAACAATACTATTCAGTATTTGAAGAGTCAGTGTTCCAGATATGGAATTATGGACAAATTAATTACAGACAATGGACCGCGATTCGCAAGCTCGGAATTCAACGAATTCGCAAAACAGTATGGGTTCCAACATGAAACCTCGAGCCCCCATTTCCCACAATCTAACGGTCAAGCCGAACGCTGCGTACAAACAGTGAGGAATCTACTTCGCAAAGCTAATGATCCATACAAAGCCTTGTTGGATTACCGAAACACAGCTATTGAGGAAATTAAACTTTCTCCCACGCAAATGTTTCTTGGCAGACGTTTAAAGACTGATTTGCAAACCACCGCACCCCTTCTAACTCGGGATGTCACATGCTCAAACTACCTTAAAACGCGCATGAGGGCAAGACAAGTAAAACAGAAGTTTTACTATGACAGACATAGTGGTCCATCTCTTAAACCACTTGATCAAGGTGACAATGTCATTATGCAGAAAGCAAAGGAAAACCAATGGATTCCAGCTACAATTTCGCAACAACATCACAACCCAAGATCGTACATCGTCAAAACAAACGACGGAAGGAAATACAGGAGAAACCGCAAACACCTTCGTCCTACAAATGCGGAATTTCCCATTGATTTGGATCACGACGATGAGCCGTTCATTCCGACAACCGAAATACAACCACGAGAAACGTTTATAACGGCTGATCAACAACAAAACGCAAGTTAAAACACAATTCAGAAACATCTGAATCCGCCGTCGATCTCTGAACAGTCAACGCCGCAAAAAAATAGATCAGGGCGAGTAATTGTGCCGAATAGGAAATACCGTGATTATGTCGCTTGAAGTGTTGCGAATTCAAGTGGCGAATTATTGTGCTATAGAAAATGTGCAAATTGTGTTAAATATTATAACAAAAGTGTAAATTCTGGAAAAGTGCGAAATGTGAAATATCAACAAATGCAAAATGTGTTAAATACAAAAATGTCATCCTCACAACAGTGATATAAGTTGAACGTGTTCAAAGTTCAATATCTGAAAATTGCACTCCCAGAATGATTGATTCTGATATTCTTTATGGAAATTTAACGTGTTTATTTTACGCTGTGCCAATTGAATTAAGCTACAAAAAAAGTGTGGATATTCTAACGTGCCAGTGATTTTTGCGAAACACAAATAATGTTTATCGACTGTTAAAGTTCAATTTCATGTTACTTGTTCATGATAGGACTGTCTAGCAATACAGGACTGTATAGGAGTTTATAGGATACTTGAAGTTCATCGGACTCGGTTAAAAATAATTTACCAGTTTTATATCAGTGCTTATCACACTTACACTTCATATAATTCTCTTTATTAAATGAATAATAAATTCATGTTTTACTTAAGGGGAAGGATGTCATGTATTATAATGGTTCAGTTATACATGCAGTTTGTTCTACGTAGTTCGAGTAATACTATCTGATTCACATACATGCTTAACACAATGTATCACCAAGCCTACGTATGTAAAACATTCAAGTGACAGAGATTAAAGAGAACAGAGTACGCCATCATCGTGTTAGTTGTAGTTATGTAACACCTGCGGCCTCGGGAAACAGTTCATCTGGAGGGTCCCAACTCCTCGGGAAAATAGTTTTGACTGTTGACTGATAAGGCATTAAACAACTGTATATTGTAACCTGACTCGCTATATAAATGCATATTAATCAATTTCGACTGTTTCCCAGCCAATTCACCAAACGAACTATAGCTAATGTGTGCTACCGTAAAACTGTTGACTGGTCACCGTAAAACTGTTGACTGGTCGCGTGAAACTGTTGACTGGTCACGTGAAACTGTTGACAGGTCACGTGCAACTGTTGACTGGTCACGTGCAACTGTTGACTGGTCACATGTTAGGTAATCGAACGCATCTATAATTACAAGCACCCCGATGATCAAGCGTTTTTGATACTGGATTGTTGACGGTCGTCTGTCGGTAGACCTAAACATCACATCCGACATAGAACTTTTTGGTTTTTCATTGTTAAGTAACAAAACAGTTGTTTCATGCCTTATCAGTCAACAGTCAAAACCATTGTCCCTCGGAGTTGGGACCCACCAAATGAACTGTTTCCCTCGGCCTCGGGAAAATTGTTTTGACTGTTTACTGATAAGGCATGAAACAACTGTATACTGTTAATGTTACAGGTTTAATGCATTGTTGAAGTGACGTCATTGTATTGTTTACGTGACGTCATACAATAGTTATGAATAGCGGATGCACCTGTCCCGGGTAAGAAAAACACGTATCCAAAATTGGTCTTACAGTTACATACATTGGAAACATGCGTAGAGGTCAGAGAACTTCGATGGTACAGAATACATCAGAAAGACAATTGTACAGTACAGTAACAGTATTCAACGAGTGAATAAAAAAAACATGATACGTGAGATTATACTGATATTATACTCAGTCGACAGAAAAAAACATGATACGTGAGATTATAATGATAGTATACCCAGTCGACAGAAACAACATGATACGTGAGATTATACTGATATTATACTCAGTCGCCAGAAAAACATGATACGTGAGATTATACTGATAGCATAATCAGTCGACAGAAAAAAACATGATACGTGAGATTATAATGATAGTATACCCAGTCGACAGAAACAACATGATACGTGAGATTATACTGATAGTATACTCAGTCGACAGAAACAACATGATACGTGAGATTATACTGATAGTATACTCAGTCGACAGAAACAACATGATACGTGAGATTATACTGATATTATACTCAGTCGAAAGAAAAACATGATACGTGAGATTATACTGATAGCATACTCAGACGACAGAAAAAAACATGATACGTGAGATTATAATGATAGTATACCCAGTCGACAGAAACAACATGATACGTGAGATTATTCTGATATTATACTCAGTCGACAGAAAAACATTATACGTGAAATTATACTGATATTATACTCAGTCGACAGAAAAACATGATACGTGAGATTATACTGATAGCATACTCAGTCGACAGAAAAAAACATGATACGTGAGATTATAATGATAGTATACCCAGTCGACAGAAACAACATGATACGTGAGATTATACTGATATTATACTCAGTCGACAGAAACAACATGATACGTGAGATTATACTGATATTATACTCAGTCGACAGAAACAACATGATACGTGAGATTATACTGATATTATACTCAGTCGACAGAAAAAAACATGATACGTGAAATTATACTGATATTATACTCAGTCGACAGAAAAAATATGATACGTGAGTTTATACTGATATTATACCCAGTCGACAGAAAAAATATGTCAATTTTCATATTGTAAGAAAACAGATGTAAAAATTTTAAGGACCTGATCTTCTGAGGTTCAAATCACGTTCAAATCCCTTTTTGATCTTTCGTAAAGGCATTTTATAAAAAAAAAAAAAAAAAAATCAAATATTAAAGGCAAACATGTGCCTGAAAAATGTGTCAAGCAATTGAAACCTATTGTTTACAGAACTTGTGTATTTTTTCAAATGACCAATTTTGTGTCAATTTTAATATTTGTGAATTTTCTTACGCTCCACGCAACGTCAAATGTCACCTATTTACACTTTATTAATCACTATACTGTAGCTAATTGATGTTTGTCGCAAAATTTTGTAATGCTAAATATGATAACAATAATATGTACCAAAGTGGGAAATAATGTAATGTTCGTAGTTAAGCATATGTATTCATATATATCAGCTGATCAGCCAATCGTTTTTTGATCATGCAAAAGTTGAAAAATAACACATAAAAACGGCAAAAAAGCAAAGCACAGCGACCCCCAATTTTTAACAGTTTTAAGAAAAGAACTGCATTTCTTTAAATCCAGTGAATATTACGAAAGGTTAGTTAGCAGGAAGTTTTATACAAATTGTTAATTCAGCAAAAACTAGTGACAATGATGATTTCGTAATTTGAATATAAGGGGTAGGGGAGACCATTAACTGTCTGAGATCAAAATATAAGTTGAAGATTTTTAATTCATTATTAACAGGAAATTACTATTTATATCAATTGTGCAAACATTCGTAGATTTCTGAATACACACTTGAAAGATATAGTATGGATTTCTTCTGTTGACGATAAAAATGATAAATTTCACCAAAAATTAAAAAGTACGTAAAATTCGTAAGTTTGACCGACATTGGCAAGAAACGAGCACACGAACATATCATTTTCTTTGTATTATTGATTTTCTCATATTCTCCTCTCTCCTCTATAAGATAAGGTGAGGTTAAAAAAGTTACTCAACAGAAAATAATGACTTGTCACAATAGTAGATCCTTAACAAATAATGGAAATATTTTAGTTTGTTTCAAAGAAAGAAACCATGATTGGGGACAGCCTTGATAACGAATATAAAACATAATATTATCAGGCGCGTAGCTACTCTTAAACGATGTGAATGCCAAGGTTTTGGTCATTCTTGTTCATTGTGGAATTTTGATGTACATGTAACGGTCGTCTGATAGGGCAGCTAAGGGCCTTATAATGGCATGTGTGTTATGTAACAAAATAAACATTATATAAATATCACATTCATATTTATTTTATCATACCGAGTGTCATGTTTAGGTGTTTCACCACTTCACCATTTTTAAAGGTCCTTGTGTTGATTTGACATAAACCAAGACTTCATCTCAACAGTTGTCGAATGAACCAACCGTGAATGTAATTTGATAACACCCTGACACTGGGACGAACCGTGAACGCATACGTTTGGCGCATGTAACAATTTTTGGAATAACACCCTGGCACTGGGACGAACCGTGCACGCATACGTTTGGCGCATGTGATATTTTTCGGAATGTCACCCTGTCTTCTTTATCTTTGTAAAACGAGCAAGTAACATTGAAATATTCACATCTTTCTCAACCAATCAGATTACGAGATTTTAACAGAAGGTATAATAAGACAATTTGTTACAAGGTAATTTATAAAGCACGTTTGCAATACAAAACTAAACAATACGACATAAAGATCATAACACTTATCATATCCACACATCTATTTTTAAAAAATCAATCCAGGATATTCTATTGAAACAATTCAATGACGAAAGCTCGGATGATATGAATACAAATGCATTAGAGATTATATAAGTTAATGCACTGATGACATTATTTAATGTAAGCGCTGTAGCACAATTCATTGTTCATATTAAATAATAAAAATACAGCACAGCAGCGGTGTGCGTTGTCAATGAAACGTTACATGGAAACCCAATATGACGGCCATGACATTGTCGTCGACTTCTGTTGGTGCAGTAAAACATTCGATACTTGACACATTAATCTCAACTCTGTCATCTAACTATCAGTCAGTAGATAATTTAACTAAGTTTTCTGCTTGGCTTTGATCAGTCATATATTGCATGAATACAGACGTTATCAGTTTTCAACCGATACAGTATATTTTCTTATACATGTATATGCTATACTCTTGCAAACGACGGTTATTGGTTATGATTTGTAACGCGTTTCCAGGCGATGTTCCGGGCAATGATGTTACTGGTTTTCATCTGTCATATATTGTAAGTTAATGTCACGGCCACTGATACGGCAGTCGGGTCGAGGTTCTGTCGTCAAAAGTCGACCTTCATTCACAGGAGCATTCCTAGCAGGACCTAGACTGTTTCAAAATAAGAAAAATTTATAGTAAT